AACAAAAAGGAGTTCATTTACTATTCCCTTCAACACTGGTATGTTTTATTGACACAAACTGGGGAGGCCATCCCCAGCAGACAGGCCTCCTAACCAATTCTGACACAAAGAATATCTTTAAGATAATCTGCAGAAAAGAGTGAACAGAGCAGGCCAGAGACTGCTATCTTTAGAAAGGCCTACTTGGAAGGTTTTACCGTTGGTTAGCATCTGGGAACTTGACTTCTCTCCATTCCCTAACTGATAAGTGTCATTCACCATGCCCAGACTCTCTGTACAAACAATATGGCTTATGCTGAATATCTGCTTCCCTTCTGAGAGTCTGGGGTTTTGGTATGTCCTAGGCAGAGGATGCTAATGTGACCAGCCCCCAGTAGAACTCTTGGGTGCTGAGTATCTGATGGGCGTGTCTGGGCAGAATTAATGTACACGTGTTACTAATTTTGTGTATGTGTATGTGGCTAGAAAAAAAGAGCACACAGAAATGCTGTCCATCATGGGAGGGATAAACATAAAAAGTGCTGCGCCTAAATTTCCCCAGACTCAGCTTGTATCTTTTTCCTTAGCTGATCCTATTATGAACTTTTTGCCCTAATAAACCACAGCTGTGAACACTATAGATGCACCAGATCCTAAGAGCGCTTCTATTGAATTACAAAATGCATACTTGCTTTTGGGGGACTTCTAAAACACATCATAAATTCTAAATTGAAGCAGATAGCTTTCAAAATTTAACTGGCTTATATTCAGCCATTTTGTACAGAAGATAACCTATTAGTTATCTTGAGGTATATTTGAAAATATTTTATAATATAGAAAAATCACATAAATAGTAGAAAATCACTTGGAGAAAACCACTTTTTGACATTTATTTTCAGTGCTTATCAAGGTACATGTTTTTACAGTGTCTTTATATTTTGTATCCTATTCTTTTTGATTTGTCGTTGTATGATAACCATAAGCTAAGTTATAAGCATATGCAGAGTTTGAAACAAAGTGACTTATCAAAGTAATAATAAGTAACAATGAAATGCCATAAGTTTGTAAATTATGTTGATGCATGGAAATATTAAGTGAAAATGTTGAGAAAATAAAAACATATACATTGAATATAGCTAAGAAAATTGCATCGTATAGCAATAACTTAATACACTATCTGCAGATTATATTCTTGATTCTCAAAATAAGCTTGTAAGGTTTGTATGTTATTCTTATTTTATAAATGAGGAAAGAAAGGTCTAGAAAAATAAATGACTTATTACAAATAAATACATTGCCAGGCAGGACTTGAACCCTGGTGTCCTGATTCCAAGTTCAGGGCTCATTAGTCATCACAATTGCCTCTATGCTGAGTCACAAAATTTAGAAATGTTTTCAATGTGACATAAGGCAGGTAAATATTCACTAGATCCTCATTTTTTCTCTTTTAAATAGCATATATTCGCACCTATTATAATTTTTTAAATTACATTTTAAAACACTACCAAATGTTTTATACAAAGTAACCTTTCTTGGGAGTACAGGAATAATTATTAATAAGAGAGGCTTATGAAGGAGGACTAAATTGGTAAACATTAGGGGAAAAGTTGAAATAAAAAGCCAATGGTTTTACAAGCAGGAGGTGCACATGCTCAACAGTGAGCTGCTGACATTGTGTTAAGGCAGGATTCAGCTGCTCTTGGAAGGGCAGGCAGCCAAAAGCTCTCTGCAGGGATAAGTCTGCCAATTGCTGTACAAACAAATCTTCAAAGATGAAATAAAAACCTCTTGGTGTCTATTAGAATATTGTTTAGAAACAAATCAAGTATTTAGCAATTGAACCAGAATAGCTTATCATCAGTGGCCTACTAGGAATCAGAATTAGCATGAATAAATGTAGGAATGGCTCAAAAGGAAGTGGCAGGGATGAGTACTCTGAATTTTGTCCTTCTTCGTCAGGCAAAGGAAAACCTTGTGACTATTTGATGGTGACTTTCAATAAGTACCCACTGGCCATATCCCAGAAAAGCCAAACTGAAAAGTAGCACCTCTACTTCCTCATGTGCAGAAACAAATTATCAGTATTTGGGTCTTCAAGAAAAGAGACTCCCTAAAAATATCAGCTCTGGCCATATGGAATATTCAGATATGGCCAGACTGAAAAACATATGACGCATGAAACAGAAACAGAAAGAAGAGAAAGGCATGTGAACACACGCTACAATCTCTCTGAGCATGTGGTTGAGGACTGAGCCTGAGTCTAGCTGGCCAAAAGCCGAACTCTATCACTTACTAGTTGAATTACCTTAGGCAGGATACTTGAGTTAATGTCTCCGAGGGTCAGTTTACTCATCTTCAGAATAAATAATAATACTTACCTCACAGGTATTGTTAAATGAAGTTATGAATATTGGGAATTTTCACAATGTCTAACATACAGTAAATATTAATGAATACTAACTAATGTCATATTATTACAGTATTAATATTATCAGGCTTCAAAGTAAGTTATCAGTTATTAAAATTAAGATTAAAACACTGTTTCTATTGCTTTTTTTCTATATACTGTACTTATTTTGCAAATGATGGCAGCTATAATCTGAATAATATGACTCTGAGATTCATAAGATGATGATAAATTATCTTCTGGCTTTAGTTATGTGGGAGAGCAATGTGCCTGTATAATACCTATATAATATCAAAGGTGAAATGAAACAGCCAAATTTAAGCAGTGTGTCCCACTCCTGGTATAAAACAGGGTATCAAAAGTAGTAGTTTATTCTGCAATTGTTTGATTCTTACAAGAGAACTTAGCCTGAGTTCATTGGTTTCATCATCTTTCATAGCCCTTGCCTGCTGAGCTGCCCAGTGAGTGACATCTGTTCTATGACCCATGGAAGTCTGGCTGGCTTAATGGGCATGCAAACCTATGCACCCACTTAAAAGGGTCCCATACATTTTGTTGCTGGCCCGGTCTGGCATAAAATGAATATCTACCTTGCACATGGGAATTAGGCCTTTATTACCTTGACATCATTATTGGTATCTTCACTTAAAATAAAGAACTTTTATTTAATAGTTATTTTTGGTAGACAGGAACATAAAAAGTTCTATTCTCAGTAAATAAAGGAACAGGAAGCAATGTTATCAAAGCCTTATTGGAAAAGAAGAATCAAAACTGAGTTATTTCTTATTATTAGCTTATTAAGCTCAATATTGAGTCAATCACAAGTATCTAGATACAATTTTTATAAGGTCCTAACATGGATTCATTATATTATCAAAGTTTAAAAGTTCTTATGTTCTATAAATGTTTTTGCCTCAATTTATTTGAGGCTATTTCAATTTTATACTTACTACAAAAATAGCATATATATATGTTTAAAAAATGGCATAGCTTGCCTGATGTATGGTCACACATGCTGTATAGCTAATTGAAGATCATGATAAAGTGTCCACGTGAAGACCAAGAATAGAAATAGTATGAAAAAACAACTCCTTATATTTCCCAAAATTGTTAATGTAAGAACATCTTAGTTACTGTCTTTCTCTGGGAAACGTATAAGTCTAAATAGTTTGTTCTATGTTCCTACAGAAGTAAAATTAGTTCTATTAGTTCAGATTAATCTGGGGGAGTCATAAATAAATATACTAATTTAAATAGTGGAGAGAATTCAACTCTTATTGTTATTTTTAATATTATCAAAACATACATTAAATAAGAGTCATATTATGTTAGAATAATGGTCATCCTTTGTAATGAAAAAGCAATAAAGTACAAAATTCATTAAAATGGGCTATAATTTAACAACAGACTCATATGAGAAAAACACAGCCATTTCTTTTTGTAAGAATGAATAGCCATTCTTATTGTGAAAAGATTATTCAATATTACTTATATGACAACCATATTCATAAAACACTTATTTCATACAGAGGTACTATTATGCAATTTATATGCACCACACAATTCCTCTTTCTTCCAAAATACATGCTTCTTCTTTGGTGTTTAGAACATCTGTTAATGGTACCACTATTCTGTCATTTCCCAAATTCAAAACATGGGAAAAGTCTAGGTCTCTCTCTTTTCCAAGTGTCATGCATTAAGGCTGTGAACAGATCGTGGTTTTTTTTTACAGTGATGCAATCTTCAGCATATCCCTACTAAGCACCTCAGCGAATCACCTATTGCAATCTCATCACCTAAAAGGAAGAAACTAAGGCCTAGAGAGGTGAACGTTTTACCTAGTGCTATTAACTAACTCAGAAACTTACTAATACAGCTAGGATCAGAGTCAAGATTTGATGTTCCTCAAATCATTTTTTTTGACACTCTCCCTCTGTTTCTGTTTATGGGAGCTTTTCAACATTTCTCACATCTGCCTTAGAGCTTCCTCTATGCCTTTTGCCAATATTCATTCAGTAACATCCCTAATATCACCTCTGCAATCACACTATACACTATTGCTAGCTTCATGCTTTTGAGTTGCAGCTCTTACCACAACCAATCCACTGATACAAATTTTCAGACACCTACTCTTTACAAAATCATGTCTAAGCACTTAGCTTGGCATTGATGACCTTCTATGATTTACCCAAATCTATTTCCTGGACATTCATTATCAGATCATCATTGAACAGATATTTACTGAGTTCCTATTGCATATCAAAATGAGCAAGTCTGGTCTATCAAAGATCTCCTTGCTTAACAGATTTGTTTAATTACTTGTACAAAGCAAATTGTTCTATAGGAGCAAATTTAATTATTTTATAGAGGGCTAGTCAGAAAAATTTTAGAAACTTATAGCCAAATATACACTAGAAATATTTGTTTTGTATTGATGCCTAAAATACTGTAAGATAGATTCAGATTTAAATGTCAGTCATCTTCACAACTTGACTATCTACCCAAGTTCAGGTATGTTGTTTTATATTTAATGGTCTTGCTCAACTGTACAGATCTATTAAATATCATTTAAGTAAAAAGAGAGATTAAAAGTTACTTTTCAGTAACAGCTTACCAGGATATATTACGTTGTCTGTGTTTCTTTGAGTCCGGCCTATCAGGACAGTGGTAAGATTTACCGTTGGTTTCTTAAGCATATTAATTTTCTTCGGCAATGATTTTACTTGCTTCTTAGACTTGACAACATTTGCCAGACTACCAGGCAATGATTGATCTATACAACAAGTTAAATTAGAGAGGACAGCTTGAGTTTTTATTTGAATTATTGGTTCCACAAATTCTGTCAGACCTTTCTGAAGAAGTTGAATATCTGGCAGGGAACGTTTTATCCACTTAGGTATGGTAGCATTCAGTTCTGACACACTTGTAGAAGCATTGTGACACATTGTTAAAACTTCATGGAGAGTTTTGTTAAGCAAAAAGAAGTTACTTGAAAGATGGATGGATTTTGCTTCCAATGCCTTAAATCTAGAATTCAATACTTGCAGTTGAAGAGCCTGATCTCTCTCATTTGTAACCACATTGCCTTTTTTAAGTGAAATATAATAAGGTATGAGCGTCTGGGTAACTTTAGACTCAATGTCTTGCAACCGAGTTTCCAAATTTTTGGAAATCTTGGTGGCTAACAGCATTTTTTCTTCCAAATGACTCATATTTTGCTGGTAATTTCTCACTTGGGAGGTGGTTTCATTGAACATTTGAAACATCTTTTGGAAGTTGGACTGATTTAGTTTCTCATCTCTAGGAATACCTGCAAGGGTCTTGGCAACTTGCAAAACAAAGTTGTATCTCTGATTGTCATTGATCAAAATCTGAATAGAATCATTCAGACGTTGGAACTGAGGAATAAATGTCAAAATCGTTTCCATATCAGAGGTACATTTATGATGGACCTCATGATTATCTTTAATAGTACTTAAAGTCTCTTTTAGGGCATAGTTATCTTGAATGAAATCAATAGCATTATTTACAATAGTCATTGTCTTATTTAGGCCATCTTCCATTTCTAAGGCATATTCATTGATACGTCTTTCTAAGGTATCATCACGACTCTGTACTTCATTTCTAAGTAAGTTGTGTCTTTTTGTAAGTTCTTTGATAATAAAATTTAGACTATTGACAGCACTAGTCAGATTTTCTATCTTTTTCCTTGTCACTATTGCTTCCTTTGGTTGTTCATATGTCATTGTCTGTCTGAGTGATGCTCCCTGCTCAAGCAAGGGTTGAAGGATCTCCATATCATAAGTCAAATCATTTAGTTGCTCACTCATTTGATCCATCTTATTGTCCATTGGAAACAGAACTTCAGCCAATGTTTGGTTTAACACATGTAAATTCTCTTCTGTGTCCTTAAGTTGAAATTTAAAATCATTTCTGCATTTGGATAACATGTCTTCACATTCACCTCTGAGAGACTCTTTCTCCATCTCTAAAGAGATGGTGAGATTGTTAATCTTGCTTTCTTGAATGTGCAAATCTTCAAACAGTTGCAGCATCATCAAACTCTGCTTCTTTATATTCTCATGTAAAGTAGACATGTATTCAGTGACATTATTGCTAAGTGACTCAATGGCTGGAACATTCTTCTGGTCTGATACCTGTTCAGTGGATAAAAGCTGCTCATGTACTTCCTTCAATTGAGAAAGAGTTTTATTGAGGGATTCATAATACAGAATGCTTCTTGAGTGTTCCTGTTCTAGAGCACCTTCTAAATGAGTCTGCTTTACTTCTAGTTCTTTAATAGGCTTCTCACATGTAACAGTCATTTCTTGCCTTACATTCACAATGTGATTCCTTAGATCTACTATATCAGTCAAAGTGGGCCGATCGTCTTGCATTAAAACAGACTTTTGCTGGGCTGCTATTGAAACCACAGATTCATTAACTTTTTTAATTATTTGCCTGGTGCTTTCAAGGTCCTCTGATAGACTTGATACAGTCTTGAAGAGCTGTGCTACGGTGTCTTGCATGTCATTTTGAAACATTTTAAATTGTTCTCTTACTGTGTCTCTTACCAGTACATTAATGCTTTTTGATTTTAGATCTAGAGAAAGAAACAATAAATAATACATAATTTTCATTATATGAGACTTTAAGCATCTCTAAAAAGATTAAAAAGTTTGAAATTAAACATTAATAACATGTAATAATAAAAATACCACTTAACTACATTTACTTATAAAATTTTAAAAATTACTATAACTTACAAAAGGTGATCAATTCCTTAAATAATAAATCTGAGAGGAGATATCACTTGCAAAACATACTAGAACATAATAAAACCGTAAAACTAAGGTCCTTTGGATGAAAGACATGAGAGAACTACTACTGACTTCAGTAATACACTGTTGTGTGTAATAATTCTAGGTCTAGTTTTAGTTTTGTATGAAAATAAATGGCTTTGGGCTTTCTGCTTTAGTAAATAATACCTGGTGTTAGCTCATGACTGTGTTATTAGGTTTCTAGTAATTAAGTTTCAGAGCTTATGCTTTGAGCTTATAAAAGCTAATAAATTGACTTCTGGGGAAAATCTTAATGATATTCTCAAATGAGGAAAAAATGAAGTAATATTCATAAGATTTAATACTGGTTTATAATAACAATAAAATAATAATAATGAAGCTTGGGAATTTCAAAATTAAGTCTTCCTCCAATGAAAATAGGAATTCAAGATACACCTGACATATTATTATAGTATGACATTAATTTTTAACAAAAAGAGAAGAGAAAACTTGCAAGTAATGAAACACATAGTACTGTCTCAAATATTAGAAAACATGGATTAATCGTAAGACATGATTGCAGTAGTCTCTAAACGTAGCATAAAAAAAGGAACAGGAAAAGTATACTGGACTATTCACAGTTATTAATATTCATAACTATTTAGAATAGAAAATGACTATTTAAAATATAAAAAAACTTGCATACAAAGACAGAAAACAGAAAAAAATACATATACTAGAGATATATTTATAATATCTAGTGATGAAGTACACATAAATGGAAGATATGTCCATTCACATTCAAAATATAATTAATATGGCTTGGCTGTGTCCCCACCCAAATCTCATCTTGAATCTTACTTCCCATAATCCCCACATGTTGTGAGAGGGACCCAGTGGAAGGTAATTGAATCATGGGGGTGGGTTTTTCCCATGCTATTCTCAAGATAGTGAGTTCTCACAAGATCGGATGGTTTTATAAAGGGCAGTTCCCCTGCACATACCCTCTTGCTTGCTGCCATGTAACACATGGCTTTGCTCTTTCTTCGCCTTCTGCCACGATCGTGAAGCTCCCCTAGCTATATGGAACTGTGAGTCCATTAAACCTCTTTTTTTTTTTTTATAAATTACCCAGTCTTGGGTATTTCTTCATAGCAGTATAAAAATGGACTAATATAGTTGTTACCAGTAGAGTGGGGAATGGTTATCAGTAGAGTGAGGTACTGCTATTAAGACACCTGAAAATGTGGAAGCGACTTTGGAACTGGGTAACAGGCAGAGGTGGGAATAGTTTGGAGGGCTCAGAAGAAGACAGGAATATGTCAGAAAATTTGGAGCTTCCTGGAGACTTGTTGAATGGTTTTGACCAAAAAGTCCAGGCTAGGTGGTCTCAGATGGAGATGAGGAACATATTGGGAATTGGAGCAAAGGTGATTCTTGATATGCTTTAGCAAAGAGGCTGGTGATATTTTGCCCCTGCCCTAGAGATCTGTGGAACTTTGAACTTGAGAGAAATGATTTAAGATATCTGGCAGAAGAAATATCTAAGCAGCAGAGTTCAAGAAGTCACTTGGGTGCTCTTTTCAGTTTTATTAATTCGCAAATATATGGCTTGGAATTGGAGCTTATGTTTAAAAGGGAAGCAGAGCATAAAAGTTCAAAAATTTGCAGCCTGATGATGAACTAGAAAAGAAAAAAAAAAAATTTCCTGAGGAGAACTTCAAGCTGGTGGCAGAAATTTGCATAAGTAACAAGGAGCCAAATGTTAATTGCCAAGACAATGGAGAAAATGCCTTCAGGACATGTCAGAGTTTTCAAAGCAGTGCCTCCCATCACAAGCCGAGAAGCCTAGGAGGGAAAAATGGTTTCATGGGGACCTTGCTCCATTGTGCTGTTTCAGGACTTGGTGCTCTGTGTCCCAGCCATGGCTAAAAGGGACCAATGCATAGCTCAGGCCATTGCTTCAGAGGGTGCAAGCCCCAAGCCTTGGTGGCTTACATGTGGTATTGGGCTTTCAGATGCACGAAAGTCAAGATTTGAGGTTTGAGAACCTCCGCCTAGATTTCAAAGGATGTATAGAAACACATGGATATCCTGGCAGAGGTCTGCTTTAGGGCAGAGCCTTTATAGAGAACCTCTGCTAGGGTGGTGCAGAAGGGAAATGTGGGGTGGGACCCCCCAAACAGAGTATCTACTTGGGCACTACCTAGTGGAGCTGTGAGAGGAGGGCCACTGTCCTGCAGACCCCAGAATGGTAGATTCACTGACAGCTTGCACTGTGCATGAGGAAAAGCCACAGACACTCAACATCAGCCCATGGAAGCAGCTGGGAGAGAGGCTGTACCCTGTAAAGCCATGGGGTGGAGCTGCCCACTACCATGGGGACCCACCTCTTCCATCAGTGTGACTTGGATATGAGATATGGAGTCAAAGGAGATCATTTCGGAGCTTTAAGATTTGACTGCTCCACTGGATTTTGGACTTGCATGAGGCCTGTAGCCCCTTTGTTTTGGCCAATTTCTCCCATTTAGAATGGGTGTATTTACCCAATGCCTGTGCCCGCATTGTACCTAGGAAGTAACTAACTTCCTTTTGATTTTACAGGTTCATAGGCAGAAGGAACTTGCCTTGTCTCAGATGAGGCTTTGGACTTTGAGTTAATGCTGAAATGAATGAAGACTTTGGGGGACTGTTGGGAAGGCATGATGGTTTTGAAATGTGAGGACATGAGATTTGGAAGGGGCCAGGGATGGAAAAATATGGTTTGGCGTTGTCCCAACCCAAATCTCATCTTGAATTTTTGCTTCCATAATACCCATATGTCATGGGAGGGATCCATCGGGAGATAATTGAATCATGGGGAGGGGTTTATCCCATACTGTTTTCATGATAGTGAATAAATCTCACAAGATCTGATGGTTTTATAAAGGGCAGTTCCCCTGCACATGCTCTCTTGCCTGCCACCATGTAAGGTGTGGCTTTGCTCCTTCTTCACCTTCTGCCTTGATTGTGAGGCCTCCCCAGCCACGTGGAACCAAGTCCATTAAACCTCTTTTTCTATATAAATTACTCTCTCTCAGGTTTTTTTTTTTTTTTTTTTGTAGCAATATGAAAATGGACTAACACCATAATCAATGACTATAATGTTAAATACAACATAATGCAAAGCATTTTAGACAGGAAAGTCTGTACAATGGGATATTGCCATCAGTTAGGGCTACTAGGTAGTCTATTAAAGAAAGATCATCCTAGGATTAAAAGAATAGGCTCTACATGTCTCTATTTTGTAAGTAAGTTTTAAAAAGCACTTAACATACATGAGGGACTTACATAAAATATGTGAAAGAGTGATTATTAAAATATAATGATGTTTGAGCATTTTGATATTGACAACTTTGTACAAAAACAAAGCTGTAAATATTACAATTTAGATGGATAAACGTTTCTCTGGAAATCCTACATCATAAAGATCAGTGTTGCCAGATGAAAAAAAAAAATGGAAAAGATATTTTCCTTTACATTTTATAAACTTAGTGGAAACTAAAGTAAGTTTAAAAGTCCAAAGATCAATTTGTATGTAATTGAAAAAAGAAAACAAAACATGAAATATGGAATAGTAATCAATGACCACAGCCTTAAAGTACTAAGAAAAGGCTAAATGAATTAGAAAAGACTAGCCACAATTAAGATAAATTATGCAGAAATAGTCCTAGCATTTGTATCAAATAACATGGATAATCACACCAGAAAGGCTTTAAAATATTTTTATCTTCTACATTTTGCTTAGCATTTAACCAGTCACCCATTTATTAAATAAATATTCATGAAGTACATTCTATATGCTATACAGAGAAAGTAAAATTTAGAAAATTAGACTTCTGGTCTTAAAAAAGAATATGTAAGTATCATTGAGTGTAAGGTACTATTCAATAGTAATATTAATATTACTCTTTCTATAAGAACATTTAGTCATTTCCCATTAGTTAAAAATGACTCTAATTCTCCTGATGTCAAAAACTTGATGAAATATAATAAAACATTTAAGGTTCAGATTAGACCTTCTTTGACTTTATAACCTTACAATTTTTCAAAATTTAAAAGAAATAATAAAATTTAAGCTTTATTGACTTTATTAGTTGTGAACAATTACAATAAATGTTTAACTTCAGCAAACAAAAAAACTACATGACCTGAAAGCCATAATAAGAGTAACAATAAGCAAAAACTCTGCAGATAGATAAAACTCAGTACAAAAGCTTGATCAATATAATTAGGAAAAAAATGAAAATGAATAATATAAATTAGCTATTATGCTTTAACACTTTTTTGGAAAAATACATTGAAGAGAGTGCAAAATCACAGCAATGTCTGAAAAGACATTAAACAGATTATTAGCTTAAAAATGTGTTTTGGGATAAGAAGCTTTTCAGATGACATTCCTACAATTTGTTACTAAACAAGCATCTGTGCAAGAATCTGATTTTGCAAGAACATATCAAAGTGCTTTATGTTAATATTTGAGTGGGCATATTGTTTTAATTCTATTTGATTCTGTTTCCTGTGACTGATATGCTTCCACTTTCTTAAAAGCATATTACATTTGGTGACTTACCAGATATATTTGGTATCAGATACCTTCGCATGCCCCTTCTGTGACTGTGAATGTATGGCCTTTTAATAACATTTAGGTGCCTCTTAAGGTATCCACCTCCTCTTAAGGAGTTGAGACATTTGATTTTCAACAGTTTCTATGGCTACTGTCAGATTAAGCAGTGTTTTTCACCTTGGATGTAAAATAAACAAGGGAGGAAGCTGTGGTTTCACTAGGCAAGCACAGCACCTTGCAGGTGGGTTTAGTTTTTGTTTCCTGTAAGAATATTCATTAACTTCAAGCCCTCTGGTTCTTATAATTAACGACTGTGCTCAGTATACAATTAATTCCTCCTATTGAGGAGGGAGTTTCATTATTAACGCTGTTGCTGTGAGTGTGTGATTTTTCTCCTGTGTCAGTGCCACAATCTTTGTAGTAGGCTGGTAGGTCACAAAAAACAGGTGACAGGCTAATTCTCTTAGCTCATGAGAACCAACTCTTGCTAAACAAATCTCATTCAGATGGTTATAGTCAATTACATACTGTTTCTATTTGACTTCTTTCTCATGCTGTCACGTCAGGGGGAAAAATATTTCCTTCTCATGCTTAGCATTGGTAAGGTTGGGTCATATCAGATACGTAGGACAAGGTCTCTCTTTTAGTGGCTGAGTAGCAGCAATTATTTATATGATTAAAAAATCATAATTGTTGTTGAGTTATGTAAGTGTCTGTACTGGTAGATGATATATTAAATATCCACCTATTTGTCTTTTTTAAATCTGAGAACCACAATAGAGAAAAGATAACTTGTGAATCATAAAAATTGGGTTGTACACTGAGTTTTTTAATGAATAAAGCAAAGGGAAAAAACCCAGTAATCCTGAAACTTGCAAACAGACAAGTTTCATACAATAAACCCATTTGGGACACTCCCAGGAACCAAACTAACTGCATGCCTAGAACATCCTTGCCCTACCTGAAACTCTTTTGCCTGGTTAACATCAAGATGGTTTCTCCTTCTAGATGCTTTCCCTGGTCCCCTTAGATTGGATTTGTTGCAAGTGTCAAGTAGTCCCATTCTATCCTGTGTATAACACTTTCATAGCAATTACTCACTATGCATAAATCTCTGTGGCAGGCAGAATAAGACACACCCATTTCCCCCAAGGTGTCCATATGCTAATTCCCCATATCTGTGAATATGTATCTTACATGGCAAAAGGGACTTGGCAAATGTGATTAAAGTTAAGTGCCTTGAGATAGGGAGATTTTTCTGATTATCCAGGTAGGTCCAATGGAGTTACATGGTCAGAAAGATGCAGAGAGAACTCAACACAATGTAGCTGGCTTTAAAGATGGAGGACTATGAGTCAAGAAATGCAGTGGCTTCTAGAAGCTGGGAATGGACCTCAGTTTACAGACATCAAGAAAACAGGGACCTCAGTCCTACAACTGCAAGAAAATGAGTTCTGCCAACAACTTGGATTAGCAGAAAATGGATTATCCTGTAGAGCCTCCAGAAAGAAACATAGCCTGCTTTTAAGCCCACTGTTTTAAGAGCACAAAATTCAGGCAAAGCCTATTCACATATATAAATTTTTTAAAATATTAATAATAACTGGAATGTTTTAGGATATATTTAGTAGATTTTACACCATAACCTAGAAAATTTTGGGGCTAACGATCCACTTCAGATTAATATTGAGTCAAACAGGCATCTAGCTGTCTTGATCCCCTAAATGTATCTTTATTCTTGAAGTGGATAACACAATGGAAGTAAATTAATATGACTCGCGTTAACTAAAAATGAATATAAGTAAGGCTATAATTAGATGCATTATGTTTATCAACCAAATGGAATATTCAAAGACTTCAGTATATATAATAAAATGTAGATATTTCAAATTATTTCAGAATTTTAGTGATTTTATATCTCATTCAAAAAATATCTTTCTTAGGTTTCCATACCACCCAGACTAAAGCAAAGATCTCGAAGTGATGTAAGAAAAGAAAAATGAATCATTTGCTTCCTGTGTTACTGAATGAATAATTTATTTTATTTTATTTTTACCTTTTAGAAGAGATTGAAATTCTCTGCCTTTATCTTCATTGACTTTTCCTTCTAGGGAAGAGTAAGTGTTCCTTATGTCATTCACAGTCAAAGAAATATTGTCAATCTTGTTCTGCAGAAGTGTCAGTTTCTTTGCCTGGTAGTTTACCTGGTCAGTCATTTTTCGCATCACTTCTGCATATAGAAGAAGAGAAAATTGAGACCATTTAAAAATATATTTTGACCCATAGTTTGTATCATTTTTTTTTTTTTTTTTTTGAGACGGAGTCTCGCTCTGTCGCCCAGGCTGGAGTGCAGTGGCCGGATCTTAGCTCACTGCAAGCTCCGCCTCCTAGGTTCATGCCATTCTCCTGCCTCAGCCTCCCGAGTAGCTGGGACTACAGGCGCCCGCCACCGTGCCCGGCTAGTTTTTTGTATTTTTTAGTAGAGACGGGGTTTCACCGTGTTAGCCAGGATGGTCTCGATCTCCTGACCTCATGATCCACCCATCTCGGCCTCCCAAAGTGCTGGGATTACAGGCTTGAGCCACCGCGCCCGGCCAGTTTGTATCATATAATGGAGAAAAACTAAAACCCCCTTTCTTCTACCATCTGGAGCACAACAAGGATGCTCACTTTCACCACTGTTTTTCAACAAAGCACTAGAAGCTCTAGCTAGAGCAATCAGACAAGACAAAGAAATAAAGGGCATTCAAATTAGAAAGGAAGGGGTCAAAGCATCCTTGTTTGCAGATGATATGACCTTATATTTGGAAAAACCTGAAGACTCCACCAAAAAACTATTAGAATGGATAAATGAATTCAGTAAAATTGCAGGATACAAAACCAACATATGAAACTCAGTAGCATTTTTATATGCCAACAGTGAATAAACTGAGAAAGAAAAAAAAGTAATCTCATTTACAGTAGCCACACACAAAGTTAAATACATAAGAATTCAATTAACCAAAGAAGTGGAAGATCACTATAATGAAAACTATAAAACACTAATGAAAGAAATTGAAGATATGTCATGTTCATGGATAGGAAGAATAAATATTGTTAAAATGTCCATACTATCCAAAGCAACCTACAGATTCAATGCAATCCCTATCAAAACACTGATGACATTCTTCACAGAAATACAAAAAAAAAAAAAAAAAAATCCTAAAATTTATTTGGAACAACAAAAGACCCAGAATAACCAAAGTTTACCTAAGCAAAAAGAACAACTGAAGGAACAACTGGAGGAATCATATTACCTGACTTCAAATTATAATACAGAACTATAGTAACCAAAACAGCATGGTACTGGAATAAAAACAAATAGACCAATGGAATAGAATAGAGAACCCAGAAACAAATCCACATATCTACAGTGAGCTCATTTTCAACAAAGGTGCCAAGAACAAACACTGGGGAAAAGACAATCTCTTTAATAAATGGTGCTGGGGAAATTGGATGTCCATATGCAGAAGAATGACTCTAGACCTCTATCCCTTGCCATGCACAAAAATAAAATAAAAAAGGATTAACTATTTAAGTCTAAGACTTCAAAACATGAAACTCCTACAAGAAAACATTGGAGAAAGTCTCTAAGACATTGGTCTGGGCAAAAATTTCTTGAGTAATACCCCACAACCACAGATGCTCAAAGTAAAAATGGACAAATGGGATCACATCAAGTTTAAAAGCTTCTGCACAGCAAAGGAAACAACAAACAGAGTCAAGACACAACAACAGAATGAGAGAAAATCCTTGCAAACCACCCATCTGACAAGGGACTAAATAATCAACATATATATGAAGGTCAAACAACCCTATAGGAAAACATCTGATAATCCAATCAAAAAATGGGCAAAAGATTTGAATAGACATTTTCAAAAGAAGACACACAAATGGCAAACAGGCATATAAAAAGGTGCTTAGCATAACTGATCATCAGAGAAACTCAAACCAAAACTACTATGAGATATCATCTCACCTCAGTTAAAATGACTTATATCCAAAAGATAGGAAATAACAAATGCTGACCAGGATGTGGAGAAAAGGGAACCGCCACACCCTGTTGGTAGGAATGTAAATTAGTACAACCACATGATCTAGCAATCCCACTGCTAGGTAAATACACAAAAGAAAGGAAATCAGTATATCCAAGAGGTATCCACACTCTCATGTATTTTGCAGCACTATTCGCAGCAATAGCCAAGATATGGAAGAAATATACGTGACCATCAACAGATGAATAGATAAAGAAAATGTGGTATATATGCACAATGGAGTATTATTCAGCCATTAAAAACAAAGCAACAACATGGATGCAACTGGAGATCATTATGCTAAGGGAAATAAGCCAGGAACAGAAAGACAAATATCACATGTTCTCACATATTTGTGGGATCTAAACATCAAAACAATTGAACTCAAGGAGATAGAGAGTAGAAGGATGGTTATCAGAGGCTGGGAAGGATAATGGCCGATTGGAGTGAGGTGGAATGGTTCATCTCCCAGGTGCAAGCGATTCCTCTGCCTCTGCCTCCCAAGTAGCTGGGACTACAGGTGTGTGCCACCACGTGCGGCTAATTTAGTAGAGACGGGATTTCACCATGTTGGCCAGGATGTTCTTGATCTCCTGACCTTGTAATCCACCCACCTTGGCCTCCCAAAGTGCTGAGATTACAGGCGTGAGCCACCACACCCAGCCTAAAACCATTTAAATGTTTAATTAAAAATTAAATATATATGTGTGTGTGTGTGTGTGTGTATATATATGTTTAAAAATATATAAATACAAATTTGTTTTTTATTTGAGTATAAAAATTTTGTTAGAGGCTGGGCACAGTGGCTCACAGCTGTAGTCCCAGCACTTTGGGAGGCTGAGGCAGGTGGACTGCTTTGGCCCAGAGGTTCAAGACTAGCCTGGGCAACATGGCTAAACCTCATCTCTGTAAAGAAAACAAAAAATTAACCAGGCATGGTGGCACACGCCTGTAGTCCCAGCTGTTTGGGCACCTGAGGCAGGAGGACTGGTTGAGCTCTGGAGATGGAGGCTCCAGATGCATGATCACTTCACTGTACTCCTGCCTGGGTGACACAGAGAGACCCTGTCTCTAAAAAAATTAATAAGTAAATAAATAAATAAATAAAAATAAAAAAGAAGAACAAAATAAAGAATGAATAAGACCTACTATTTAATAGCACAATGTTGTGACTATAGTCAATAATAATTTAATTATACATTTTAAAATAACTAAGAGAATATAATTGGATTGTTCGTAACCGAAAGGATACATGCTTGAGGGGCTGGATACCTCCTTCTCCATTATGTGATTATTACACATTGTGTACCTGTATCAAAACAATATATACACCTACTATGTACCCACAAAAATTAAAAATTAATTATATGTATTTAAAACCACTTAATTTTTTATTTTTTATTTTTGAGACCGAGTCTCGCTCTGTTGCCAGGCTGCAGTGCAGTGGCATGTTGTCGGCTCACTGCAATCTCTGCCTCCCGGGTTCAAGAGATTCTCCTGCCTCAGCCTCCCAAGTAGCTGGGACTACAGGAGGGCACCACCATGCCTGGCTAACATTTTTTATTTTAGTAGAGACGGGGTTTCACCATGTAGGCCAGGATGTTCTTGATCTTCTGACCTCATGATCCACCTGCCTCAGCCTCCCAAAGTGCTGGGATTATAGGCATGAGCTACTGTGCCTGGCCTAAAACCACTTCAATTTTTAATTAAAAATTAAATATATATATACATTTAAAATCACTTAAATTTCATGATAGATTTGAAGGTAATTCAAACAAACTATATTTGCACTAATACATTTGAAAATATAAGCCTATATTCATTTAGCAAATGGCAACTTGAATGTTAAGACTAAGTGTAGAAATTTCTAAAAAGCATTATAATAGCTTCGATTTCTAAAATGTTTTAACTTTTCTCAGAATTTTCTGTTTTAAAAAAATTATTTCAAAGAGTTACTGTTACACTCTCAAAAAGAAACAAAGGGGCAGAAAACCAAAATAACTTGCTCGCAGTTACAGAGCTGATGGCTCATCTTCTGCTTCCAAATTCAATACCTCGATATTAAAAATATGCAGCTGTATATATGTATGTAGTTGTAGCTATGTTCTGAGAATTTTATTGTTTACCGAGGTATTCATTAATCAAGGATAAAGAGACTTATAATTTAGTTTGAATCACTTTATATAGCAATAATACTGTCTATCCCTTTACACATGTATTGCAGTAATTCAAGAATGTTATGGTCTTTTATAAAGATACTGAATTTCAATCCCTTAAAAAATTACAATACCATTGTTAGGGGATATTCAGCTGCGTTCTTAAAGACAGCCCTTTAAGTGACATTTCTTAATTGAATGCCTTGTTTTGTATGACTAGATCCATGCCAAACACAGTGAATAGATGTTTTAAGCAGCAACCAACCTTATGTTTGTCAGAGCTAAAGTTTAGCTTAAAAGAAATGGCAAAACCTGATTAGAAAGATGGAAAAACATGTGACATGCCAGCTTTGGATCAGCAGGAGGTTCTTGTTGATTCTTAGTCATAATTTCGTTTCTTAGGGATCAGCACCTGTTAAGCGATCTCTTATCAATGAATGGAAGAGAGCCTTCTTAGATCCCTTAAAATAATACGTTGTTCCTTCCATGTCAAGGGTCTTCCATAATGGCACTCTTTGGAGAACGAAAGTTTGGTCTTGTTTTGGAAACCTGTGGTTTCCTTACAACCTAATATCATAGCATTTTTATTCCTTCTGTGTTTGCACACAAAGCTTCAATAATTGTACATGGTCTTTTCAGTACCTATTATAGCTTATCCACAATTTCTCCCAACATCCAGCACCAGTAGAAAAGGACTGAGAAGTATGCTAATGTGTCACCATCAATCATTTGACAGCTAAGAGATTTCTTGCTTAGAAGTTGTAATAAATAGCACTGGCAATAATTGGGTTAGAGATGATAGCAATTACAGTCTATGACCTGGGTCACCACAGTCTTGCTGCTGCTGCTCAGCTACTCCTCTGCCAACAGCTGTATGACTTTCAGCCTGGTTGGTGTGTATCAAATGTTGCTGTTCTTGGGCTAAAAGGAAGCAGAAAGAGAACAGAGACAGTTAAGCGCTGGGACGGCCTCATTTTTTCCAGTCCTGAACAATAATGTGGCTGACATTCATTTTCCCGTGTACTGAAGCATGATGGTCGGGGATGATTGCAGAGTAAGCTGCTCCGCCCCCAACCATAGGGCAATGTGACACCACACTGGAGTGGGAAATGCAGGACTCTAATTCTGCTTGGAAAAAAAATAAAATTATTCAGGCCTCCTTTCCATGAAAATGGATAGTAGTTTGCGGGAGCTGTGTAAAGTAGCAGATGTATACTGCCTGCCTAATTGAGGGGATTTTAAAATCCGCTGTGTTAAAAGCTGTAACAGTTTTATAAGTGGACTGCCACAAAGGCTGATTGTTTAACAAGGCAATTTCCAACTGAGGTCTACTTGGATAAAAGGGACAGCTACAGGTTCCTTACTAAAATAAAAATAGCTATTTCATTAATAGTGCCACTTAAATGGATTGTTTCCAGATTTTTATAGTCTCAAACTGGACTAAAAATAAAAGTAAACTATTGCAGGCATATTTCAAGCAAATCAACTGGTAAAGTCAGTGAAATTTCATTAAATAGAAATTCTCGTAAAATAAGTCAACTCTATTGAAGATTTAACATGACTCAAGTAATATTTTAAATGGCAATATAGTTTTTCATCGGGGAAAACAGTTTAGAGAAATGAACTATTTAAAATATTGAGAACAGGGCAGGTGTGGTGGCTAATGCTTATAATCCCAGCACTTTTGGGAGGCCAAGGCAGGTGGATCACTTGAAATCAGAGCTCAAGACCCACCTGGCCAACATAGTGAAAGCCCGTCTCTATTAAAAATACAAAAATTAGTCTAGTGTGGTGGTGGGTGCCTGTAATTCCAGCTACTCGGGAGGCTGAGGCAGGAGAATCAATTAAACCCAGGAGGCGGAGGTTGCAGTGAGCCAAGATGGCACCACTGCACTCCAGCCTGGGGGATAGAGCAGGAATCTGCTAATAAATCAATCAATAAATAATAACAATAAAAATAAATAAAATAAAATATTGAGACCATCAAGTAATGTGGCTTTAATTTACAGACTTCTAATGAACAAATTTATCCATTAAAGTCTGCATGTCAGACATGAGGAAACAAATGTTTTGTGTCTGGCTGTGCTTCTTCCCATGTGAATTTATGAACCAATGAAACTCTGCATCTCTGGCACATGTTAATTATGCTCCCTAAGCCATATGTGGCCGTGACTATAGTACTTAAGCTTCTCTACTCCACAGGAAGTATATTTGATATTAATTTGAGCCTCTATTGTTAGATTGAATTTTGCATTGTTTTTCTTCAGGGCATTGAGCTAAATTAATGAATTTCCATTCATGTCCAATATTTTTGTTTTGACGCTGTTTCTTTTTGATTTTCATTTCCTCCACTGTATTCTATAAAGTCCTGTGTAATTGTTGACTTATCTGGTGGACAAAGGCAATCTGCAGCTTGGGAAATAGTGTAATTATTTAGGGGATGGAGTGGGTGGTGAAAAGTGTAAATCTTCTTCTAAGACCTAGCAATAAGGTTATTATAGTGTAAGTTTAAATTAATTCACACAGATACAACCATTTAATAATTGCATAAATTTTTATCATGATTCCTCCTTAAATGGTGTAATAAGGCCTTTTATTCTGGCAGCTTAAATGTAAATCCATCCAAGAGTATAACTAGAGAGTAAAGCAATGGTTCTTAGACTGGGGTTCCTTAATCAGCAGTATGAGCATCACCTGGAAACTTTTGGAGGTAGAACTTCTAGAACCCCACCTTGGACCTACTAATTTAAATATGAGTATTAAGGATACAAACTTAAAAGTATTTATAGCAGTAAGAACAGGTGAATTTAACAGCATGAACAATGATCTTTTCATTTATTTGCTGCTTACATTTTTGGCTAGATCATAGGAACAAAAAGAGCTGGTGCATTTGAAGGTAGTACCATTACTCAGTAGGCTGTGGATACTTCGTTAGGAAGGGAAGCATAATTATAGTGAAAGCAAAGATAATATTGTTTTATGGTGTACAAACAAGGTTACTCTTCACATTTCCTTTTCTATCATTAACTTTTATTATAACACATATTTCTTTACATCCCATTAGAAACTTTTTTTTCTCATGGATGGAAATCAGAAGTTCCTGTATACTTTGAAACATTAAGTGTCCATGTTCTTTTCACTCCCTCATCTGAGATTCTCATTCAGTAGATCTATTTTGGGGAATGGGACATGTGCATATTAAAAAACAAAACAAAACAAAACAAAAAACTCTACAGGTGATTTCCATGTATGGCCCTGGTTAGGAACACTAATTTAGAACAAATTGCTAAGCTTTCTACTTCTAAGAGGGAAATTCATTGTTATAATGCAGAAAATACTAGATAGATTAATACTAAAATTGTAATCCAGAAATCAATCTTCATAGACTTTTAAATAGCATTCCTGTTAATAACAAAGGCATGTGTTGAAGACATGATTTAATAAAGTTTAAGAAATGAAAACCTTAAGTCTCATACCATTCCTTAACGAGTGAGTGAAGTGGGATGGGGGTGGAAGGTGCCTTTCACAGGTTCCTGATTTCCTCATGTAGACATTACCATTCTTTCTATTGTTATAGCACAAGATCCCTAAAGAGGCACTGCTAAGCATGGAAGCATATGAAGGGTATTTGTGCTGCCTTCACAGCAATCAAATCTACAGCCCAATGACAATTTTAGAACGTCTCAGAAATAAAATCGCTTTCCACTCAAAAGCCAGACTGTTGCTCCTTACTCCCATCTAGCAACATTGCACATTCCCCAACTCCATGATTGTGTTTTGCCAGTATGTAGCAATGTGGTCGGCCAATTGTTAAAATATTGAAATATAATAAAGCCACAACTGTTGGCAAATATATAATGCTGAAGTCCAATAACTGACAGGCTGAGTTATACCAATTATAATATTAACTAATTACAAGTTAATCATGGATACATGATAAAGGATATATTTTTTAGGATATGTGATGAATGGAATTCCTACTGTGGCAACATCTGAAAACCATTTTTCAAAATTAGCATTTTGTTGGACCGATGTCAGGCACTGCATAGATTCCGTGAAACAGTCAGTGTTTTAGTAGAATGAACTGTTTATCATTACTTATGATTTATGTATTTGTTAGAACTTCCAAATCTTTTGGTGCTCAATTTATTTTACTTATTAGTATGTGCTAATTGTTCTAAATGCATAGTTATTTGATAATTATAGTCCAGAAGTTTATAGTAAATTATTGAAGACACTGAAAAAGAAACAAGAGTTTAACCAAATTTTAAAAGCATTTGTTTCAGGTATCATGAGTATGAATTTTTTGAATCTGAGAATAAAACAAAAATTGTATCACTTAGGAACCTAGTCGTAAATTAGGTAATGATACTGTGACAAACTCAGTTAGTCTGGAACATCTTTTAATATGTACAACATCTAAATAATACCAAATAATTATAAAAAATAAATTCAATATTAAATAAATAAGCTACATTTCTGGAATGAAAATCAACTTGATTTTCAATATTAGTAGATTATTTTTTCTTGCTAGGTAAATGTTAGATTCAAACAATCATACAAATTTGTATAATAAAGAGATAAAATTGCTAGACTCATTTTTCATCATAATGACATTTACCCATTATGTTAAACATCATTTGCAACCATGAATCATGAAGAAGAAAATATTAAAGAATGTTATGAAATTAGTCTCATGAAATAAGTATTCTTAATAATAAAATTTTTCAATGAAATCAATTGAAGTAAAAAACTTAAAAAATACTTTATCAGATGTTAATAAAGTGCCCATAAAATAAATAAAATATTTAGAAAAAAAATCAGAATTTTAAATTATTTCTTTTTTAAAATAATAAGAGAATTAAAAATAATAGAGCATTTTAGAAAATAAAAATATTATAGAACATACCTAATATAATAATTCTGATCTAGGAATATCATTACAAATCAGTTTTATGATACTGCTTTTCGTAAGACAACTTCTTAGAAAACTTAAAAGTCAACTTGAAAAAATATAAAAGTATTATTAATGAAACTTGAACTCTTTCATATACAAGTATTTTCATAATTTTACTAAAATGTAAAAATCAAGAATTTTAAAGCAGTTAATTTTTTTAATCTCAGTAAATCAGAAGGAAAAGCATCTTTAATACTACATTAGTAATGTAGTAATACATATGAACACTCGAGAAAGGAATTTTCCACGAAATTTGTGTATGTGAAAATTTAATTTTTTAGATAGGTGAAGCCAGTGCAATAATAGTGAAAAAGTAAACCAGGAGTTCCAGGCAAAATTTTAGATAGACTTCTGTTATTTTTTTAAATTTTGGCACTCTAAGTTACTGTATTCAAATATTTCTGACTGAAAGTATAATGTGTTATCAAGTAAACACTTGAAATCTTTTCTAGATGAATTTCATATTTACTACTATATATCAAATAGGGAAGAGACAATAAAAATAGACTAGAGGGAGAGAGAAAGATAGAAAGACAGATGGAAAGCAAGAGTACATGCTAAAAATTAAAATAATAAAAATTAGAAGAATATTTGGACTTCAAAGATAGCCTGTGATACTACAGCTAAAAAGGCATTTTTAAAATTCTATCAAGCCCTATGAATTCACTTTCGTATAAATTGTGAAATTTAACATTTGGAAAATAGACTTTTAAAAAAAAAGAAATGATTTTCAGAGATGACACACTAACAGAAATGCCAATCCTTTTTCAGCTTTACAAGAAAATTCCCCTTGTTAAACTGGAGACAATTTAAAAAACTGATCAAAGATAGTATAGATATAAAAATTTCATATATTCTGTAAATATACATTTGAAACATATATATTCTATTTTAAATGAGCATATATTAATTGAAATCTATAGATGTATATATACTATTTGAAACAAAAACTAGTAAAAGACCA